TAATTATTTAATAATGAAAACAAATTTAAAAAACCTAAATTATTAAAGAAATAAATATTATATATTTTAATAATTATATATCTTACAATATTTTTAAAATTTTAATTAAAAATTAATAAAATCTATCATATTTCATTTATAATATTTTTAAAAAATAAATTACCAAATACTAACTTTCAGTTACAGTTACAACATAACATAATCACAGTTACAACTACAGCATTTCACAGCCATCCTAGACGCATCCTAAGTTGTAATGAAAAGTACATTTAATTTAAGAAAAATTGAAAAAAAAAAAAGAGAAGAAGAGATATATTTTTTATTTTAAAATTAATTAAATTATAATATATAAAATGGTGGTGTTCTATAGAGAACTTTTTTGTCTCACATTTTTATACAACTTTCACACGTCATTAAATGAATAAATGCATTCAATATCACAGATCCCACATGAATTAAAAAAACTAATCATTTTAATGACATATCAAATTATAAAAAAAGATAGAACAAAATAGTTGTTTCAATAGTATTTCTTTATATAAAAATATTATAATTTAATAAATTAAAAACTAATCACGATCGCACTGTTCAATCCAAACTTACCATAAAACTCACTATTAAAATCAACTTTAAGCCCCTCACTTTATAAAATTAGTAAGTTTTAACCCCTCATCTTACAAAATTAGTAGATTTTAACCCCTCACATTATATTATGACATTTTTAGCCCCTTATCTATATGAATAGAAGAAAATAGCTCTCACTTAACATTAAGTTATAATGTTCTGTCAGTTCTGTTAACTGACTGTTAGAATTTGTTAGCATTCTGTTAATGGAATTAACAAATAAAATTAAATTTAAATTTCATGTTTTCTATAACGAAATACTAACAGATATTAACAGTTAGTTAATGGAACCAATAGAATTTTATAACATAATATTAGGTGGGAGTTATTTTCTTCAATTCATATAGATAAGGGTCTAAAGATATCCTAATATAAGGTAAGAGGTTAAAATCTATTAACTTTGTCAGGTGAAAGGTTAAAATTCACCAAATTTGTAAGGTAAAGAGCTAAATGTTATATTATAAGGAAAATGATTAAAATCTACTAATTTTATAAGATAAAGGATTAAATGTTAGTTTTTGTCAAAACTCACAGAGAACGCTTGTGTACGGGGTGAGGGAAGCATAATGAGGACATGACTCATGGGCATGGGACCACCTTGTGTCATTTTTTTGGGCATTTTCCCTAGTTAGATTGGTTACGGGGCTAAAACTTTCACAATTTGTAAGTTGAAGGCTACAAGTTTCAATCTTAATAAGATAAGGTTTTTCATATATTTTTGCTCCTCAGTGGAACCCTAATGACCCTATCACTCATCGGTCGGGAGGCTCATCCAGTGGAAAATAGCGGAGAAAAATGAATCCTTACCTCTGGCATAAGGTCGCTGCTGTCTCTGGTAATAATTTCTCCTTCGCGTAGCTTCTTGAGTTGGTAAAGAATCATAAAGAAATCAATAGTTTTTTGTGCGTTGGTGGATGTATATTTGAGAAATGAACATGAACAGGAGTAGCAGCTCTCGGGTTAGGAACATACGGTGCCCATGGTTTCAAGCCCCAAAACCCCACTTACAAAGAGGTTAGTTCCCATTTCCTCATCTCAATTTGACCCCAATTTTGTCTTCTTTTTCCTTGATTGATTTTTTTTGTTGTTTCTTTTCTTTTTTGCTGCTTATATATAATGGGGAGGAAGGTGTGGCAAACAGCATCACTTTATCATCTGGTTCACACAGTTGCCCTTGTTGGTGCTCCAATTGTTAAAAACCCCAACATCGTAAGTACTCTTTTCTCCTCGGTCATTGCCCATTTCTTAATATTTCAGAGTTCTATCTGGGTACTGTTTGTTTTACATGCCGCACTGCTAAGCAAATTTTTACTTCTCAGTACTAAAAGAATGCTTGTTGTCTTCGTTGCTCCATGTATCACAATGTTAATATATTCTTGTATTGTTATGTGTTTCAGTTTGGAGGCCTTTTGACTGCTGGGATTCTTGCTTTCTCGGGGACGTAAGTGTCTGGATCTTTGATTTTTATGGAACTAGACATGTAAAATATTTAAGGTTGGTAGATGCCTTTTTTGAACATGAATCTTAGCATAATGAAGTTAGTGCTTTAGAATTGCATGCCTTAGAATTTCATATATTGGTTACTTCGCTTCCTAAACATGCATAAAAGTTAGTGGACTCAAAAAGTTCCTTGGATTTTCAAAGCTTTAAGAGTTCTTCTGGAAATTGGATTCCCGTATTTTTCTGCATAATTTTGTAAGATGTTCTAAATCTTGTGGCATTTAGAAAATATCCTGCAGTGAATCAATACCTTAAATAATCAACCTAAGCCTTAAGTCAAATGCTACTAGTCTTTAGTTTTTAAATGGAAAATATCAGTACAAGGGATTGCTTGGTTGGTGGTAGTGGATATTATTGGTCAAACTATAAAAACAAGCTAAAATTGAGAAACTCTCATAGAAAGTTAGGAATTGCTAAGTAATGTCTAACTTTCTTTTTATTACCAAATAATTAAGGAATAACTATTCCTTAAAAAATGAAAATAATACATAGTCCTTATTTATCCCTTAGTTTAGTAGAAAATTTATTAACATTAAGGTTTAGTTGTTCCTTTCTTTTCAAATTTACCTTATTTTTATTTTATGATTGTTAAAATGCCCAAATCCACCACCCATAATTGAAAGAGGAAAAATTTTAGTTCTTGCTTCTTCTGTGCCTCTTAAAACCCAACACAATCCTCACTTTAAGTCAATCATGAAATAATTAATCACTGCTTCAAGGTTTCTCTCAAAGGATATAAGGGAAGGATTAGAAGAACAAGATCATTAAGGATATGTTTTGTTTGCAGTGAATGACTTTATTTTAGAAAATATTTTTCATGGAAAATATTTTCTTTTCCAAAGATTATTTTCTAGTGTTTCAAACACTTTGGAAAACTTTCTAAAGAAAATATTTTCTATTGTTGGGTAAACTAAATAAAATCTTCAAAGTTTCAAACTATTAGTTAATTAAAAATTGAAAAGTGAAGTTAAAACATTAAAAAATAATCAAAAGCACACATTTATCATTTTCAAATTTTCTACCTTACTATTAAATAAAAATTCAAATACCAATTCCTCTAGGTCTAGATGATAAATTAGTAACATTAAAAAAGCATACATGTTAAAATATATAATATATTAAATAAATCCCAAAATACTAGCTAAGTAAGATATTCATGCTTTGCTAAAATTATGAAGCCATAGTTTCTTAAATGCATTCAATGGCTCATTACCTTTTGCTGCCTCTTCAACAAGGATCTCAAATAAAATGCACTCCATGGGTTCTGTCCAGCCTAAATTGCTTTGATTTACCCATTTCTACAATAATGATAATCAAGTTAGATGCATGTAATAGTAAGTTAATGGTAACATTTTGTCCAGATAAATGCAAATGATCATAATAGAGATTTTTTTTTTCTTTAAACAACAAATGAAATTTAATTGAGGTACAAGAGGTACCCCAATCCTTACAATTTCCTACATCAATCAATATTACAATTCAACTCATTTAGCAAACCTACACTTATAAGAGGTGAAACTGTAAAACAGATTCCTTCTTAGGCACAAAAATATCAGCAAAGCACATTATTTTCTAGAGTCCTGCTACACTCCCTCGGATTCATCTTCCAGTCAATGAGAAAAAAGGAACAAAATTTCAATCTACTGCCCAACTAGTGATAGGACTGGAATTGAACCATTTCAAGCATCCTATCCTCATTAATTTCCATCTTCCTAAACTAAACTTCATTTCTACTTAATCATATGCACCAAAGCACTACAAACCAAATAATTTCCCATCATTTTGCTTCATTCACCATCCCCCAAAACAATAATGTTGAATGAATGCCTCCCTGCAACAATTACTCATTACAAATATAGCATTCCACCACTTAAAAAATATATTATACAGCCTAGTTGCAACCTCACAGCTCAACATGAGGTGATCAGAATTTTCTACATTTAAGTCACACATGACAGATATTGGACCCTCCATCAATATTAACCTTCCCTTTCTTCAAATTTTCTTTTGCAGGAATCCTATCTTGAATAAGTTGCCAATTAATGAACATACTTAGTTGGTACCAAAGAATTCTACACTTTCTCCATCAATTCCACGGAACGCTCATGAAAAGAATGTCTTGAATCCTAGGAAAACTACATCCTTTACCAATAAAAATTGAAAGAAAGGACGGAAGAATGCAAAAGAAAGCACCCAAGAACATAGTAATACATACAACATATAAAAATGCTAATCAAGTCAATTGGATGCAAAGTGATCGCTGCTATTTTCCATAGACATCATTAAAATACATTTACTACTCGAAAACCTCCTAGAGAAAAGGGGTTCTTGAGATAAAAAGCAAATACAAAGCAAAAGGATCAGCACGAAAGTTTGTTCAATGCAGGAAGCAGGAAGGCAACTGACAGACAATCAAAGTGAAGAATACAAATACAATGTCAGGAGAAGTCTAGGCTAGCATTCAAATGATGGAAAATAAATAATAATAATAAAATTAAGCATAAGTTGATCTACATGAAAAAAGTATAGGAATATTCGTGTACTTTTTTAATACTCCACTGAATCGTCTTTCCATGTGTTGATTCATTAAGATATTTTATTAGTTTCATGGATATTCTTGCACTTTTTTTTATAGGTTGACCTAAAAATTTGCAACCCCATAATAGTCATAGGTTAACGTAGTGTAAGTCGTTCCTCCAATTCTCTTCTTTTTTTTTTTAGACCTACTTAAAAACTTACGTTTTAGTTAATATTTTCAAAAATCAACAATTGGATTAAATATTCTAATCATATAGATCATACATGAGAATTTTCAAATTGATTTAAATTTTATAACCCTTTTGATAGAATAGAATCTATTTATTGACATACATTTAATATTGTTAAATCTTGTGTTTCTAACAAACAAGTTAGACCTGTTAGATCAACTTAAAAATTCATATGTAGAATCTACATGAATAGAATAGTTACGCCAATGTTTAGTTCTTAAAACTATTAATTAAAATATGATGTCTTTGGAGATGGTTTCTATGAAGGACATCCTCCAAAACACTATTCTTATAAATATATATATATATAAATAGAGTTATGACCAATTTATACACAACTCTTACTTACATCGTTTAAACAAAATTTGGACTATTCAAGTATTCATCTCTCTACTACAAATGGTTGATATGATAAATCTCAATTATTCATAATGGAGAAATGAATGGTCAAGATGTTGTCTAAGTGATAAGTAAAAGTAGATCCTAACTTTCTATATATATTTCTTGAGTTTCATTTTTTTTAAAGTCATTTAGTCATCCAAATGATTTTGGGAATATTGTAAAAATTTTTCATTTATTAGAATTAGGTCTTATTGGAATGTAGTCTTCATTTCTGTATGCTCATTTTCATTTAGTCATTTTCTTCAAGTTCAAGCTTTTTGCTAAAATAGTATTAGATGCCTTTATATTGATGCTTTTTATTTGATCATGAATTAACTTGTTATGGATTCTCTAGATGCTACACAGTGGCATTTCTTGAGGACAGAAAGTACTCAATATTGGCTCCATTTGGTGGCTTTGCTTTCATAGCTGCTTGGGGAAGTTTGCTTTTCTGAATATTTCGAGTTTCTCCTTTACAGAACCTAACCGTGCATAATGCAGGTCAATTCCATGTCATAAACTCTTCCTTGCTTAATGTGCTCTTTTTATGTTGATATTATGCCTACCAAATGTCCTCTGTATTGATTGATGTGGAACAGAACAAACTTTGACATTATCGAAAGGGAAATAAAAGGCAGCACTTGTCAGGTTCCAAAATTTTGAGTATGCCTTGTATAATAATTCTATGTCTAAACTTATTTCTCCAAGCAAAATTGATTTCTACTCAGTTTGTTTGAGTGTCAAACTTGTAATAGACTAGGTGATACGGTTTAATCTCTTTGACTAACCATTTTTAGGCTCGAGTCCTGTTAGTAGCCATTGCTTGAAATAGGATATTTCATGCACCTAAAAGAAAACACTAACAACCAGATTTGATTATACATGATTGCTACATCAACTAGGGGGTGGGCGGAAAAATCCACAATTGAAAAAATTTCCTTTGCTGATGAAATAGAGTTCTCTGAGACACATACCATGGAATCTTGAATCGAAGAACCCATTCTCTAGTTACAAGATCAAGAATACGAATCAGAAAGGTATTGTTACCGACTCCATTAACCGTAATCTTCCCCTTTCCAGAGCTTATTGACAGTATGAACAATGTCTCCATAGTTTGTGGGTGAAGAACCACCAAGAAACGTAGCCACAAGGCCATTTTTCCAAGATTTCATACCCTCAACATGGACAAATCGAGGAACTACCAATCTGCCATTCTGAAATTCAGGAGGTGAAAAGGCTGAGCACCGTTACCAGTATGATTGGCACCAGCGTAAACCAAATATAATCATGGATGCAGAAGCCGTCGCAGGAGGAAGCTGTGGGTCTGCAACCGAAAGAGGGGAATCACTTGTGATTACTTTGATCTCGTCATGGATTTTCTTGCACAAGATCGCTGCTGACTGCAAAGAGGAACTTGCAGGAGGATCGGCCGGAACGCACCGTGGTATTAACAGCTGGAAGCAGTAACCTTCTCTCTTTCAGACAGTTACCGCTCTAGTCCCATAATCTATATTAATCTTTATAATATATATAGGAGAAAACATTGAAGAAAAATTTGCCGCGTCACATTTATATATTTTTATTTTTGTTTTTTCATAAATTTTTTAAAAAATT